ATCGAGTCGAGTTAAATATTTAACTCAACTTGAATTTGACTTGACTCGCAAATCATCGAGTCAAAAAAACATAAACTTGACTTGATTTAAACTCAACTCGGCTTATCTGACTCGTGAGTTAATTCAACTTGTTCAGAACTCTATTCATAAGCTTACCTCTGATTAATCTAAGGTTTGAAGAGGTCTATCATAAATGATCCTAAAGGTAAATTACTTTAGTCATTGTAATTTTTAAAAATAATATTTAATATTTTCACATCTTTTATAGGCTTACCTCTAATCAATCCAAGTTTTGAAGATTTTGGTCTATTAAAACATATCTAAGGTAAAATTACTTTTATTTTTAGTTGTAATTTTATTTTAAAAAAAAAAATAATTAGCATTTCCACCCTTTTATAAATTTACCTTCTGATCAATCTAATATTTGAAGAATCCAGACTGTCATAAATAAAACCTAAAGATATATAATTTTTATTTAGTTATTGTAATTTTTTTTAAAGAATTATTACCATTTTCTACACCTTTCAATAGACTTACCTCTGATCGATTAAGGTTTGTCTATTATTAAAATATCCTAGAATAAATAAATAATTTTATCCGTTTGATCTATAATTTTTAAATTATATAATAATAATAAAAAAATTTTTTTCTAATAAACTTGCCTTTTTTGAAACTGGACTATTCACTTCAAGATATACCATAAAATATCTCCCTAATAATAAATCTTCAGAATTATCTAAAATTTAAGATCATTAATTTTAAAATTTTATTGATCAATACAAATACAGTTGTCATGTAATGATTAGCTAATATGTCTAAATATCCTGGACATAAAAATTTTATGTCCATGTCTGTAGGACAGTCTGGGAATGGACAGTCCATATCCATGTTCATGTCCTATAACAATACTAATTATGGGTAACAATAGATAAAAATTCTGAATTATTATGTAACGAAGAAAAAGAGCATTTGTATTAAAATTACTATTATTAGTAGGATACGACAAAGTTATTCCTATGATATTATACATTTTGTTATTATTAATCATTAGAAAGAGTTAATCATAGATAAGGCATAGCTTAATGCTAGTGAGATAAATTTAAGTTCAGATCTCAGATTTATAAGTTCATTTTTAACCTGTATTATACGAGAAGTAACAATTCTTTCATGCTGTTGTGTTTTATTATTAATAAAATTAGAATTTTTGTCAGTTTTAGGTGAATTATCTATAGAAGGTTATTTATCGTTCGTGAGTGTGCTCTTTGGTGTATATTAAGTTTATTCATTAACAATGTCTATTGTTTAATCATCTTCATTATCATCAGAAATTTGGGTAAAGAGCTCAAGTCTAGAAAGACGATAATTAATGTCTTCTTGATTACAATGTTGTTTGAAAACTATTTTTAATAGAAATAATCTCGTCAAAAAGAAATATAAGTTTATTATCAATATCATTTATCCTGATTATTAAAGAGTGGATAGCATCGATTGTGTTAGAAGAAATATTAGAGTTCCTGTTATTGTTTCCTTTAGGAGACGTTACTATATAGTTAATAGTTGGCTTAGATCTGATAGCATCAGCATATGAGAGATTATTTTGAGATTTTGAATTTAGATAAGAACGAGAAGGCCTATATTATTCAGATTTAAAGCGATTGTAAAGAGGCTTATAAGGATTAGCAGAGCCTCTTTTAGAGCAATTTTTGATTTCGTGATAAGTGATCCATATTTTTTATAATGTTTATCAGTAAGGTTCATCTAGTGTAAAACATTTTCTTTAAATTTGTGATGTTAGGCGGTAGCGGTATCTAAGTCTTCTATGATAACAAAATTAATGAATGCGTAAGGTCTTAAATGATATTATTGATCTCTTGGAATAAAGCATGATTTAGCTTTAATTTGAGTTAATAATTCTTGTAAGGAATGTTGATCAGTATTTAATGGGAGACCAGTAAGTTTAAGCTCAAATTGTTGACGTAATGTGATTTACAATAGGTCAAAGTTAGTAGGTTCTACTCTTAAAGTGAACTTTAAAAAGAAAATAAACCAGGTGTTATTATAAAATTGTTTAATGTCATTATTGTTTTCATATACTATGAATGCGATCTGCCATAGTCTCCTAATGATCATGGAAAAATGGATGATCATTTTAAATTTGGCAAAAAAATTTCATACAACTTCAGACTTAAAAAAAAAGGAATATCTGATATTTTGATAGTGTGACCTTTCTTTGCGTCTAATTTTAGTTGTTTGGCATTAAGATCAGCAATTAGAAAGATCAGATTATGTTGTGTTTCCTGCACTTTTGTAACAGCATGTGTAAGGTTATCTAGACTGTCAAAATAAATGATGAATTTTCTATTTTTAGAAAGATAATTTGATCCTTGAAAACCATTAAAGTGAATAAAAAGTGCATTGATAAAATTCTATTTTTCAGCTATAGATTTTCCTTTTATATCTGCCGCATTGTCAGTGGTATAAAATCTAGTAGGCGTAGTAATAATGTTGAATTATTAATCATTCACGTTCTTGCTATTAGAAGTAGAAGCTTCAGCTTCGTTCATTTCTTCTGACCAAGTTTGTTTGTTTTTTCCTTTAGAAGTAGAAGAGATTTTTGATGATTTTGATTCGTCAGTGTTGTTTGTTTGTTTTGCATACATAGAGTCCTTTGCAGTTTAAAGAGAAACATTTTGTACTTTTTCAGTAAAGTTAGAAGTCAAGAAAGTAACGTTATCTATTTTCATATTAAAAGTATTAGTTGTATTGTCTTTTTCAGTGTTGGAAGGTGTTTGGTTGTTGTTGTTGTCTAGTGGATAGGATAATTTTTTCAATACAGTCAACTCTTTCTACAACGAATTTTGATATAACGAATTTTACAATACAACGGATTTTCAGTGTCGGACA